CCCACAGGTCCACGCGCGCCCGGGCGGCGTCCCACCCATCCGCGTCGCGCGACGCCTTGAGCAGGTTCAGCGCGGGCGGGAAGTGGCAGCACGTGTGCGCCATCTCCTCCTTGTGCCACCGCGGCTGCACCTCCGTCGCGTTGAGGTCGTAGCCCCAAAAGGATTTTTTGGTCGCCTCGGTCCAGTTCGTGCGCCACTCCGCGGCGCAAAAGTCCGTCTCGTCCAGGCACTCGCGCTCCCAGCACTTGTGCCGGCCCTGCGCCTTGTCGCGCGGGCAGTGGCGCACGTCACGCCCGCGCACGATGCACGAGGACGTTCCCCACTCGCCCTCGAGCGTGACCGACGCGTATGGCTGCACCGGCGTCGAGAACTTGCCAGCGTGGAGGAGGCAGATGTAGACCATGCGTCTGTCCCAAGCGCCTTGGGCGCCTTATTGTGCGGGAAAAGAATTTTATCGCACAACACTTTCGATATTCGGTGCAGAAACCCCGGCCATGCCCATGTAACGCAATTGTGCTCGATTTTTTGGTAGAAGTGTCTCCAAGTCTTCTGGACCCATCGATGGCCGTCGCCTCGACGCCGCTCGTCGCGGCACCATCGTGCCCGGCCTGGGCGAAGCATCGTCGCGGGCGCCAGCCGCAGTTCGACGGCAAGCCGTGCGAGCCTGCTAAGGAGGAGGACATGTGGCTGTGCCTGGCCGACGGCCGCGCGCGCAGCACCGCCGACCTGAAGCGCCTGGCGACAGCCGCTCGGGTGCGAGCGAAACGAGCAAGAGATGCAGCCGCCGCGAACACGCGCGATCGGCAGGCGCGCGACCAGCGCCGCCGGCAGCGTGAGCAGCACGACCGGCGCGCAGCGCCGGCGGTCGCCAAGACCGTGCGCCCACAACGCGGCCAGTGCGGCTGCCCGGCGCACGCGGTGTGCGGCATGTGCGTCGACCAGGGCAAGCTCGCCGCGGCCGAGCAGGCGGCCATCGACCTGGAGACGCGCTTCCACGCCTCGACGAACGTCGTCATGGACCTGGAGCGGTCCGAGGACGAGACGGGGGCGCTGCTGCAGCGCTGCGTGCACGTCTC